TACGACGCTTCCAAAGCCGTTTCCCAGCAATGCATGTGGCCCAGACCATTTTTCGAGCGCACCTCCTTCAGTTCTCTCGTCTAACTGGTCTGGCTCCTCAATGGCGGTCATGGATCGACCTCATCGAGTGTAAGTCTCGTCTGCTCCAACCTTCAAACCGTCAGCCTTGTGACAGGTGTTGACTCCTGTTGTACAGCCCGCCTTTGTCACCTCCCCATTCGTACAATTCGGCAAATGGCATTGGGTCAACCTTCAAGACTATAGCAGACAGATTACCACAATACTCGGCCACCCTTCATACCCAAATTAGCCCGGGGCCCTTTCCAGGAGGGATAAGGTATCAGTCAAACTCCTACCCTGCTCGCAGCAACCCGGCGTTTCCTTTCCCAATCCAAGAGGCCCCGTACCTAGGCCAAAACATGCCAACGCATTGTCATGAGAGCCCAAACACTACGCGACAAGATGGACCTCCATTTCACGAAACGACCGTTCTTCATCCTGTGTTGACAGTTCGCCATCCACGCTTGATGCCAGAGATCATGGCTTCCATACAGAAAGGATTTTTCCAGGTGGACAGAAAATGGACCTGCTACCGCCGAAATTACTTTGCAGTACAGTGTTCTTTCGGGTTCAGAAATGGCACCGTGGATGGGCCATTCTATCTCAGCAGGAATGGCTCGGAGGAATTGATTCTGCAGTTTGCCGTCTCAATCACCGCAAAGACCGCCATGACCAGTAATGGTGAAAGTGAGGCTCGAGGTCTTGTTCAGCATACCCCCAAACGGGACAAGGCAACAGAGTCAGTTCCTGGTCGCCACCCAATTGCGCCTTCGCCCAACCATCAGATTGGTGCAAATGGCGCATACTCAAGCGCCGGACATATGTATGGAGGACCAAACCATCTCCATTCTAGTATCATGGGGACGTTTCCAGGCTTCGAAAATCCCGGCGCGAATTCGATTCCGACTTCACATACATTCGAGAGAATCCAGTTTCAGAAAGCTACCGCCAACAATGGCAAACGGCGAGCACAACAACAATATTTTTTGGTGGTGGTCGAGCTTTCTGCCAATATTGGGAGGCAGGGTGCCGAGAACTGGGTCGTGATAGCAACTAAAGAATCCGACCCCATGGTGGTGCGTGGTCGATCCCCTGGTCATTACAAGGACAATGGACGGCGAGACAGTCAGGCTAGTATGGATCCCGACCGCGGAACTGGGCATGGGCCAGACGGACATACCGGTCCACTCTCGTCAGGGAGCTACGGGCATACTCATTCATCAATGGACTGGATGGGGAGTCATCGACAGGGCGGCCATTTCGGAGGATCCAGCTACCGCCATGCATCTACTTCTCGCTTCTCTCCGACGAGTCTGGTCTCAAGCACCCTGGCTGGAACGCCAACAGACGTGGAGGTCAGCCTCTGCGACTCCCATACGGCAAAGTCGTCTTGCACTCTGTCGTCGGACCGATCTGCATTGACCCCAATGTCGGAACGGAGTGAAGATCTTATGTTCAGTAGCCTTGACCGCGAGACCACGGGTCGGAAGAGGCCTTTCGAGGACGACGGAGAAGGGGAGCATATGCGCTTCCCATTACCAGGGCCATTCACTGACAGCATGGCATCGCTTGTCGACTTCTCAGCCACGCCGTACTCGAAACTTTTATGTGCATCATCGTGATCCACGTCGGGTGAGTGATCTAAGTGCGCTACGGCTGGATCTAGCATACTTTGAGGTACTGCTAAGCAGTCTTCGTTGAGGTATGGACCTATGTTGTCAAATCCAGTCATTTCTTATTCAGTGTTTTCTGGAATCATGTTGTACGATGGCGAAAGGACAATGCAGCAAGTGGAATAGGGCAAGATTTGCACAGGATCTAGAGATACCCCCCGGTTCATTCAGACAGGGCATGGCGCATGGATGGGTTACAAGCAACTGAATCAAGGCATGGCGTGACAGGTTTCCACGCCCTTCATGACCACTCAGAGAGCATGGTGCATGGCAAACGAGGGGAAAAGGCATGGACCAGGCACAGGGATATACAAGAGCAGCAGCATATGGGTTTAAGGACGGGACTACTGGACGGGGAACATCATCGAGGGACAATTGTATTGGGAACACGGGATACGCAGACGCAGATTGCTGCGCTCAACACGACGTGATGATACGATAACAGCATATAACTACATTTCATGATTTCAATGGACGGATTAAAAGTAGGCAGGCTCGGGCCCTGTTACATCGATCCAACGAGAACGGGCGATTTGGGGCTCACGATGGGAAGCAGAAGCCGGCGCGGGAGACATAGCGTTGCACCAGCGAAGCAAAGGGTTTGGATGGAGGAGTTTGGAAGCTTCCTTGACTTGCTGGCCTCTTGCGCACGGAGTAATTTACTTTCTTCCCACCTCTCAAATCCTCTTGTCTCCTCAAATGCTCCCGCTCAGTCCCTTCAAAGACGGTCTCCAAGGTCCGCGCAAACAAGCAACAGGGTTTGCCTGTTCTTGTCTGGCGCCTCGCCCTGCCCTGCTCGACGCCGCAGCGCCCTGGACCACCTGACCCCCTTCCTTGCCATTCAGCACTCGGGATTGGGGAATGGGTGAGAGTCGTTGGGTTCCAAAGGTACGCCCTCCCCTGCTCCCGGGGGGGTGGCATGACCTATCCCTCCCTCAGACTCCGTTGTGATATCGAGCCCTCTGGCTCCGCTTCTAATTTATCTTTCAGTTCTATTCGCAAACCAGCCGCCATTTCGTAACCTGTATCCTAGCCAATTGCTGCCCGCGACGGGGGCCTTGCCTCTGCCACTCGAGCTGGCTCTATGAGAATGGCTGTCTCTGGCTTTTCTCGCCTCAAACAGCCACCGTCATCATCGACAGGCGCTGTGAGAGAGAAGCGAAACATTATTATCAATCGAGAGGAACCAACCCCGCCTTGTCGGGTGTTAACGGCAAGCAAAGAGCAAATAAAGAGGCGTTCACACCTTCGGCAGCACTAGATCTCACCCTTTCACCAGCGCGCCTTGTCTGCCATCCTAGAGGGAGGGAGATCAAGGAAGTTACAGAAAGAGCTAAATCATCCACTCCTAGAACAGGGCAGAGCAGGGCAAGCAAACCGCGGGCGGTGCCAAAGGATCTAGCTGGAGGTGATGCCAAGCACGGCAAAATGAAAGCTGCACAGCTCAACATGCCAGGCTTCTGAGCGCCCCGTCCTCGCCGTGTCTTGTCGGTCGACCGCTAGGTCCTTGCGGTGGGGCCTAGGACATCTTTGCGACTGTGATTTGAGCCCTCAGACGATCGGTGGATTCGATAAACAACTTTCGGATGGGAGCTGATTCAGGAGTCTCCCAGTCACTCAGCTGTTTCGGAAACTTCCACTGTCCTCTCCTCTGGGGACGTACGTTCGGCATTCGATCTCTTCCCTGTGTCCTTAAAACTTCCAGAATACGACGTCAAAGACAGAGAACGCTATCATTGACTGCCTCATCCAAAGGTGATATCCCTCGTGAAGGCGCATGATCGTCATGGGAAGAACCACAAAATTGAGAAGAGAACGACAAGCCACCAGCATAGTGATTCGAGGGCAGGCCGGTATAGCACCTACTGCTAATGGCACAACTCCCCAGGATCCGCGTGAAAATCTCTGAACAACGCCAAAGTCATGCCACAAGCCTGGTTGTGCAGCTGGAGATGTCCACTAGAGCATGTAGCGCAGGTAGCACGTATTTCTTGCTTGCCGAAGGTGATGTACAGGGCTCTTGAGAAGCCATGCGACCTCGCAAGAGACATCCACGGCTCGTTGGTCAATTGCTACCCTGCTCGCCAGGTACGGCGTGTTAGCTTATATCAGATCCATCTAGACGGTCACAAAGGACAGCCACGGTCTCCAGACAGGACAAACATGACCTCATGAGCCGGGCAGTGAGGTCCACACTGGTCTGTGCGTGGTCTGGGGCGCATCCTCCGAGGTCATGCATGATTTTGCCATGGTCACAGAGAGCGGTTTTTAAATTCCGCCCATCTTTCAGTCAATCGTCGATGAAATTGCTCGACCTTTTCACCCGACGGATTGGACGGGATCGAAGAACCGAAATGTCGTCAAAATAGGCAAAAACGCCAGCTGCTTTGCTACTAGGTCCACTAAAGCTCCACCAAACTATCTGCCATGCACTATCCAGAAGCTGAACAAGTATCGAATGGGCTATCAAACGGGTGGAAAGCGGCAACCGCCCTTTGCCGCCGCTGACAGCCCCTCTGCTGCTCCATGTGCGCGACGATGAGCGAGTGCCAAAGTTCAAGATTAGCCCCGAACCTTGGCCTTGATTTTCGGATCCAGACTTAGCGCTTCTCCGGATGGCATGCAGCAAGTACACTCCGGGGGTTGAGAGTCTACCCTCTGACGACGGATGATCATCTTGCCTGGCAGGGCGGCAGCTACAGCACTCTCGAAGCAGGACACGGATGCTCGGCGACCATCCAGGAACCCCGAGTGCCGAAGCACATTTGAGGCTCACAAGAGGGAGGTGATGGTGGAAAACTCTATGCATCGATCACCGGGTACACCACGTCTCGCCCCCAATCACATCGGATACGCTAGTTCCTGTTGCCTTGGTCGGGCGACTTGGGGCTAGTTAAACAACTAGCAGAAAACCGCTTGCATATACGAAGAGGACAGTCAAACACACCTCTGCAGCTGAACACACAACGAAGCACCCACTGCAGAGAAAGGAAGCAGATAGGTACTGAAGCTGAAAAGCGGCTGGTGAGGCCAGGCTTCCGTGCCAGAACACGGCTGCGCGCGTTGCCCGAAAGGATCGACCGCGGCCGACGATCAGAGTGTGACAAGATCTACCTGGGAAGAGGGATCACCATTCAACCACATCGCCCACCCTCAACCCATACCCCTTCTGCGAACAGGCTGCAACTTCACCGCCCCCAGACTTTGACCGGTCTTGCTGTTAAGCTGCAGAGATCAGCTCGACATAACCCTACATATACAAATTTTTCACGAGGGCCGAGTGTAAAACTTGTTCGGCACAAATGGCATCTTAGCGACCTCCGCTTTCCTCACGTTCTTCCGAACTCTGACGCCCACTGGGGTTCCCTTTTTATGGAATCCATTCTTAATATACCCCATGGCAATGTTCTGTCCGTCCAGGCTCGGGCTGGGAGAACCCGAGGTTATGTGACCAATGATATGATTGTCGTTTTCCGGATCGACGATTTCTGCCCCTTCGCGCGCGGCGGGACCCTTTTCTATGAGCAACCCAACCCGTCGCTCAGTCATTGTCTTTGGCGAAGCAAGCTGTTTGTTGATGATTTGGTGCCCGTTGAAGGCCGGGGTAGGGTTGTCCACACGACGTGATTTGCCGACCAACCAGCCCAACGCGGCCATGGGCGGCGTGATCTTCTCATTTAAGTCATGCCCGTAGAGACACATGCCGGCCTCCAGGCGGAGTGAGTCGCGAGCTCCAAGCCCCGCCCAGCGGACTTTGGAGCTGTCGGCAGTCAGAGCCTTTGCTATGTTCGTCGCCAGTTCAGTTGCGTTCCCGTTTTCAGGTGGAATCGAGATTTCAAAGCCATCCTCTCCCGTATATCCGGTACGGCTAATCAGTAGGGATGGCGTGTTCATTCCGGAGTCCGGGAGAGTCAGTTGTAACCACCGACTTGATCCGAAGTATAGCGTGTCCAGCAACGTGTCGAGACTTTCATCTTCTGTGTCGTTGAAGATGAGGGACTGGAGCACGCTTGCGGCCTCGGGACCTTGAAGGGCCAAAAGGGCGTGGTGGTCAAGCACATGCCAGTTGATCTGATCCCCCGAGGCTCCCTTTGCCTTGAGGAATTTGGATATATGCTCGTCAATAAACGCGATGTCCTTCTCTCGACAACCCGCATTTGTCACAAAGTAGAAGCTATCTTTACCTATTCTCGAGATCACCGTGTCATCAACTATGCCCCCCTCATCATTCAAAAGGCAAGATAGGCTCGAGCGATGCTTTTCTAACTCGTTGATGGCCGATGGGGTAACGGTCATGAGAAATTCCTCGGCGAGTTCTCCGGAGAGTTTGTGCTGGACCATGTGGGAGACATCGAAGAGACTGGCGTGTTCGCGCGTCCAGAGGTGGGATTCCTTATGGGATAGGTCTGGATACGTAACCGGCATGGCATAGGAAGCGAAGGGGACCATTTTCGCGCCGAGCGAAACGTGGAGGTCGTACAGGGGCGTGTGTTTGAGTTCTTCCTCTGGTTCAGGTCTCGTCGAGGCATACCGTCGTTGCTGATGTGACATTAAGGATGATGGCGGGAATGTTGGTTTGGGTTGGGGGATGGGAATTGGTATCAGGATCAGCTCAGGCGGATAGCGACGAAGAGGCTGCCGTGGCGAGGACAATGAGGCGGATGCCGTGACCAGAGTGCTCAGTTCTCGTCTTGAGCGGAGATATGGCCCTTTGCCGGTTTGGGCGAATGCGGTCGCCAACACAGGCCTCAGCCCTCGATGAGGCGGCATCTTCATCATTGCTGTGTCGCGCGCGGCGCGTGCTTCTCTACTGATATCGTGGAGAGCGTTCAGACTCCAGCCCCAGTATGTGATGATGCTGGGGCCTTTTTGAGGATAAGCTAGTACAGCTTCCTCTCGACGATTGCTATTTCGTTGTTCAATTCATGATAGAACGGCTAGACTTCCCGGGTCGTCAACCGCTTGAAAGGCCTTTCCACTTGGGAGACCTCTTTAATAATACGTCGGTCGTCCTCAGGAAAAAAAAAAAAACAAAGGTTGTTCTAGCTAGCAGGCAGGAAAGGCGGTTGATCGGAAACTTGCGCGGAGCGGAGGTTTTTGCGAGTTTGGCAACGTGAACATCGCGGCAAGGTCACACCCAGCCAGATTGGGACTAGTTTCTCTTGGCAATATTTTCCTCGGCCTGAACCCTTCATAGAAATTTCGGACTGTGGCCTCTCTCTCTCTCTCTCTCCTCTTATCTAGTGTTCATCCACTCTCCGCGTTCAAAGAATCGCATTCGAAGCTCACGTACAGCAGAAGTCTCTCTCAGATATCTGCAAACCCACGCAAACCAGCTTTGGGAGAAAGTCCCCGGACCGCCCTACCTCTTTCTCAATTTTGGGGAGAGAACGTTAGGACCTGCCGAGAGGCAACCGCCATAAAAGCAATCTTTCACTGCGGTTCTGATTTCGCCTCCCACTCTTCTCCGAGCTCTATTCCTCTCCTTCGAGACCCGACCTCATTGTCGTTTGCATTCTCCTCTGGACCTTCTTATTGTTCATGCGTCTCGATGTGGAATGAATGAGGGGAAGACTTGTCTGGGGGGTGGATGAAGATATGAGTCCGTCTCCGCGAAGACAGTCTTCCTTTATCTGAAGCAGAGAAGCCTTGAACTTTTGTTGGCTCGCCAGGGGGAAGAGATGGTGAGGGTATTATCTACAATTAGGAGATTGACGGAGCCAGTTTGGATACTCGGAGAGCTCAAAAGAGTGATTTTTGGGAGGTTGCGCAATTCGTCATATGTTGAAAGTTATGCGATTGCTCTCCGCCCTGACTGCCGCGTTCTTCGCGGTGGTGGGCGGCGGAGAGTAACTCGATGGGGCTTATTCTTGAGGCGCGGAGCAAACACCATTACTTTTTATTCTTCTTTTGGGTCTGTAGCTTATGGAAAAGCGGCGACCATCTGTCATGATGGCGCAGATGTCCTGTCGAAAGGACCGGACTCTACTTTGGTGTTCTTTGCGAGGCAACTCAATCAAAACCAGCACTGTGCATCTGGAACTGCATCAGCCGGTTCTCCCCCAAAGGCGATGAAGAGGAGTGACGGCTGTGGTAAGTGGTTTCAAATGATGAACTCTCAATCACAATAGAGTCAAGCACTTAGGCCTCCATGACTCCAAGCGGGCGTGGGATGGTCGGTGACGCGAACATGGTTGAACACTTTCTGATGAAACCACGCTAAAGCATTGAGATATCCTTGAGCCCTTGATATGCATGCATGGACATTGATCTTTCACCAACAAAATCACCCCCATCAATCATATTCAGATTGAGAGTTACGTTTTTCTTTTCATGTTCTCATTTCTTCTTTTCTTCTACCGTCGTTGACCTTTTCCTTCTCCTTTTGATCGCCTCCTCGTACCTGCTGCACGCTCTGTATCAGGTACACCACGACATCCCACACCAGCGCGATGACGGTCGCGCAAGCAGTACTCCAGACGTTGATGCTCACGCCGCCGTAGGGGCATCGCGGAAAGCCGAGCAACCACTCGATGTACCATGGGAACCAGCCGCGCGGGTAGGTGAAGACGGGTGTCTTTGCGTGCCAGAACTGCAGTGCGAGTCTTAGGCCGCTTGTGCTCGTCCATCGAATGGCCGTGGCTTTTGTGTCGAAGGAGGATCGGGAGGAGGAAACCGCAGCGGCTGGAACGGTACAAGTCGTTTGGTTAGCTAGATAGAGAAAAGGGCTCGCACCTTCCATCCCTCCCTCCCTCACTACGTCCTCCCGCGTTGCACGCACAGAATAGATTTTGTATATCCACGATCGCAATCAACTTGTTTCTCTTGTCTCCATTCCCCCCTCTCTGGCTGGTCACAACCTCCCTCTGAAATGCACTCACCTTTCTTGTCATGCTCCTCCATAGCTTTGTCATGCTGCCTCCTCAGTTTGGCCCATTTGGAAAACTCATCCTGCGCGCTGATGGCGTTCATTTCTCGTTTCAGTCGCAGGACCTCGCGGCGCAGGCGGATTTGTTCTTGGATGTCCTTGGACGATTGCAGCGGCAGGCCGCAGTAGATTTGCCATAGCTATATTTTTGGAGGGAGAAACCCCGGTGTCTGTCAGTACAGTCTGTGCACACACACACACACACACACACACACTCTCTCTCTCTCTCTCTCTCTCTCTCTCTCCCCTTGCGTGGTTCTTCTTCCTCCTCGTCTTTGCCTGAAATGGATAGGACGGGGATATGGATATGCAGAAACAAGGAGAGAGGTAGGTGCGACGTACTAGGTCGTTGATAGGTTTGGAGCCAATGGTTAGAATGAGGTGGCAGACTAGTTGGATTATGAAGACGGTGACGAGGAGAGAGACCATGATGGAGGACCGATGCAGCAGTTTCGGTTGGTTTGCGTTCACCTTGGGATCATAAGGGCAAAGAAGGCCGGCCTGTTGCGCGAAAAGAACAAACGAAGATGGAACAGTTTCCGCACGCAGCTCAAGTTTCCCGTCCTTTTCTCGGACGCGGTATTGCCGTACAAGTAGAGTTGGTTGCTTTCGCGAAGGACCATGGGAATTTCAGTGTGGAATGAACAGGCGCAGAATGCCGAAAGTGCTTGGGGACAGCGAATCAGTGATGACGTCGGCTTGGACTCGCCAGACGCGGATTGTGGGCGATTCCCTGAACATTTTCCTGTGCCTCTTAACTCATACGGCGTCAGGCATAAGCTACGATTGAGCAAGTGGGAAATTGAGACCTGCCCGTGCTGTAGCATCTCCCGGCCGTAGCTCAACATTTGTATCTTGACTGAAGAATGGATTCCGCTATACGCGCATTAAGAGAGCCTGCATTTACAACCTTGTTATGGGCGCCAGTCAAACAACCCATTGCTCATTCGTTCTCTTCCGCGTTCTCTTCAACTTCTTCCTCCCTGTAATACTAGTACAAGAGATCTCCGTTGTTGGCAACACTAGTTTGGGGATGGAAGCTGTGCTGTGGAGCGCTCTGGCTGACAATATATGGGTTTCCTACTCCTCCACCAGTCGGGCTAGTCAGAATGTCTCCCCCACTATTGTCACTCAGGCTCAAATTCTTGAAATACTCGTCGGCGGCTTCAATCGCGGCTTGGTGATTGGGTATGGCTGTGCCGCCCGGAGTTGTGACGGTTGTGTTCAGTGAGAGGGGATTCGCGAGATCCATACCAGTCAGAGCGCGGGTCAAGTCTTCTCTCTTCCTTTGCAGAGCAGGCGAGTCCTGAAGCCGGCGTGTTCGTGCAGACCGGAAGACTTGCTGTACTGGTTTCAAATAAATGGTTGCCAAGGTCCCAATGCCCAGGCACAGCTCTTCCAAAGTTGTTGGGTCTAATTTCTCGCTTTCGGCTGTAATGGGTGGTTTTGTACCCATAACAACTTTCTTTGCAGTCACTGGGTCGGTAGATAACAGGCGCCAGTACATGTACCCTCGATCGCGCAGGTCTGGATCGTCCGACTCTTCCGTGCACCATTTCAGGACTTGCGGAACGATTGAGGAGCCCTTCGTTGGCCGGTGGAGGAAGAGCTTGACTGTTGCAGTCAGGAGCGCCAGTTGCACCTCGATAGGTTCTTCGTGGAAAGTCGAAAGGTAATCTTGGAGCAGTGAATCGGCGTTATCAATCCGGTCTGCGTACTCTCCTATAATCCAGATAATGGCAGCTTTTGCCTCTGGCTCGTCAAGTTCATCAATCTGGCCGATCACGGTTGAGATGACGGATTCGTACTGGTTCGGGTATTTGCGGAAAATGTTCTTGATCACCACCGTTGCTTCTTGCACGATGTACGGAATTTTGGCGTTGACGAGCTCCAACAGTGCGTCGATACATTGTCGCGCCGCCGGTTCGATTTTGATTGCAAGTTTTCCAATTGCTCGAACGGCCTTACGCACAAACTGTACGTCAATCTCAGTCGCGTACTCTCTCAACTCATTAAGGACCACCGAAATGTTGTTCTTGTTGGCCAGCATGAATATCAATTCGAGTTTCGTTACTTTGACGTATATCGGATCGTTGTACTTGCAAAAGAAGACGCGGATGTCATTTTGCAGGACCTCAGGCCTTTGTTGGAGGATGAGAATGGCATTTCTCAAAGCGAGATATTGAATCTCTGGTGGTTTAGAGAGGAGGGTGATTAGCGGGGGAGATAATTTGCGGGCAAGTTCATCGACTTTCTTCTGGTCGGAGATGTAATTCATCAGATACATAATGACTCGAATGCAGGTAAGCACCACAGCAGAGTTTGAATGTGAAAGTCGAGAGGATATTCGTTCTGCAAGTAAGAGAGCCTCTCCAGATTCATGCGGGACGTAGGAAACGAGTGCTTCCAAGATGTATGTCTGAGACCATTCATTGCAGTCTGGCAAGATCGAGATGATTTTGGATGCGCTCGCGTAGTCGATTGTCAGCTTGATGTTCTCGCTCCGCTCCCAGATATCCTGCAACGCGGAAAGTGCACTTGCGACCACGGTAGGATTGTCGTCCTTCAGCATTCTGTTGAGTTTATCAATCAGGTCTGATCCTTCAACAAGTCGTTTGTCGTGGTCGTAGATTTTGGCGACAGTAATGGCAGCTGTTTTCCGCACGTAAGGATCTTGGTCTGCCATCAATTTTTTCAGTGGGGCGATCGAGCCTTCGACGAACTCGCGAACGTGGACGTATGAAATAGTCCGTAGTGCAAGCGCGCGGATCAACGGATTGGGGTCTAAAAGATCCTAATTGCACTTGAGCAGGGAGATTCGACAATGGAAGTCGGCCATGCTCACCTCTTCGAGCACCGGCAACGCGCGTAAAGCAATATCTGGTTTCATTCGAGCATAATGCTGAAGGTACAAAAAACACCTACATATGATTTAGCAGGCGGCACAGTTTCCGAAGGCATATTGACAGACATCTTCTTGATCTCGAGGACTGGAATATCCATGCAAGCCACGATATCCGGAAATAGTGCAACCATGTCGTTGTTGCTCATTGTCATATTGGCAATGATCTTCTTCAGAGCGTTCTTCTTGGTGGTGTGGTTCTTGTCCTTCTTGCTAGCATTGGTGAGTTCTGCTCGCAGCTCAGCGACTTTGCCCTGTTTACGTGTGTAAGTTACTTAGATCAGGATAGTCCGCAACAACGGGGGAATGTGGAGAGAGAATGCTGAGAGGACAGAAATTAATGGATCAGCCACACCGACGTACCCTGGCAAAGAGCTTCGAGTCTCCATGTCCAGACGACATCCTGAATCCTTCGGTCGTACACCAAACTAGCAATTGGAGGACTCAGGTTTCACTCCAGGGTTGGTGAAGTTGCTGCTGGATTCAGCGGATTGCGGCTCGGATTACGGCATGATCATTAGAAGACCTGGTTCAAATAAGAGACGAGGTTGCCCAGGAATTTCGATGGTATTGACGCTGTCCGAGTGGTAGGCACTCAATGTATGTAAGACTTACTGGTGGTGAACTCGGTGAAAGGACGTTGGAGTTAGAGTCGTCTCGCTCGAGGCGAACGCTCACGCCAAGGGGTCGCGGAGTTCACTTTTTCCGGCCCCGTCAGCCAACGACTTTACGCATCTTTCCCTTGACATGGCTCTTTCGAAAAGGCAATCTATCCTCCTGCAATGGCGACCTCGGACAGCATGGTTCATCCGAGACCGAAATGGGTCGTTGACCTGAACGGCGGCATCCCTCCCAAACCGAAGAATGTATCCAGCATACCAGATCCTCCCGGCTTTTTGGGATCCAAAGCAATTATTGGGAAACAGGTTCGGTGACCACTATATCCTACGTACAACCGACACGCGCTGACAAGTCAAGCAGAAGTCTCAAGGTCCTGGACGAAAACCCCCGACACCTGAAGAGACAGAAACGCTGAAACTCAAGAAAGCCTGGGAGGTTGCGCTTGGTCCTGCGAAGCAACTCCCCATGCAAGCTATCATGGGCTACATGTCCGGCAACTCACTTCAGATATTCTCTATCATGATGGTCTTTATGCTGTGAGTCAGGGCGTGGAGCCTTTTGAGCGTCAAAACTGATGGTGTGGTCCAGCTTTAAGAATCCTATCCAGGCCATCTCGCAAACCAATACGCAATTCGCCAGATTCGAGAGCGCTGGCAATCGCACACAGATGATGGGCGTCAAGGCTGTATATATTCTGATGCAGTGTCTTCTCCTTGGCTTGGGCATCTATAAAGTAAACAGCATGGGACTGTTGCCTACGACCAGAAGCGATTGGTTGGCGTGGGAATACCAGAGACAACCTCTTGAAAGAGCATATTTTGCATTTGGTCAATAATCCCGGGAACGGCAGATGGCGTATCTATGGCACAGCATGCTGAAGTCCACTTGTCAATCACCGCACCGCGCAGTCATGACTTGTCTCGATATCTTCCGTTCTAGCCTAATCGTTCCCGTCTCTTCAAGACTCTGAGACATTCCGAACTCTCGCCTCCTACATGTTTTCCTCACGGCTCGTCTTAGCAGAACCCAGTTAGTCGTGGACCTCAGCTTCGTCTAAATGACAAAGAGACAAAGCACAAAGGGTCTGAGAGTCCATGGAATCTCCTGCGGCGTCATCCACTGGACGTTTGTCCTAGTCGTGCTCTCCGAAAGTGACGCAGAACATCCAGCATCTCGCTAAGGGGTCTATTGCCAGGACCAATCACCTCTCTGAGAAGCGGACCTTTCGTGGTTGGTGGCCTTCAACGGCATTTTGCAGTTGGCTCCCCTTCATTGTTGGAGCTCTCGGAATTGAGTTGCTTGTCCTCTCAACAAGATCAACAGTCCTATTATCAGCCTTGACACTGAGCTCGCCCCGTTCAAGCGCGAGAGCTTGCATCTTTTCAGTCATTTCTGTGTCAGCCGCTTCAGCGAGCGAGAGCTCCTGCAACCATTTAGCAACATTATCCAAAGCCCTGGTGGAAATCCTGTCTCGATTGCACGTACCTTGAGAGAGGTGGCGAAATCATCAGAATCGACTTCATCAAGCAACCTGATGTCGACAGCTTGACTGGCTCGAAGCCACGCGGGCTCTGTGCCAAGCTGAGCTCGCACGAAGGCGGTCCTCTCCTGACAGGCCTTTGAACACCACTTCTCTAGCTCGCTTCTGTCTACCAGTTTGAAACCCTTGCCACCCTTCTGATTCCACACTTTTTGGCCACCATGCGCCAGCTTCAAATTTGGTTTTGGACAAAGAGCATAACCACATCGGCTATCTACGTTTCGCTCGTAGATGAGATCATCCAAATCCGACGTCTGAAATAGGCTCAGACAACGTCTGAACAGAGAAGCGTCGGACGGTTGTGGGTTCGCTGGGTCGGCGTCGGGTCTGGACGGCAACTCAAATGCTTCGACTACAAGGTCGGCTATGCGTGCTTGCAATTTCTTTCTCTCCTCGATGTCTCTGGCATGGCGTAACGCAGTTGAGCGGACGCGATCTTCCCTGCTGGTTTCGGATTGCTCAGTGGCCATCGCGGGCCATATTCCAGGGACTTTTGCCAGATGCCAGGCTGAAATGGTAGGTGCAAGTGCTCGAGACAACCAGGTGTTCTTGGTTATCGGAAGAGATCTTCTTCGATGGGTAGCGCAAACCCCGAAATTGTGTGACGGTAGACAAAGAATGATGGCGGCAAATATCTAGACCGAAGGCAAAGCGGCCTGATTAAGTAACAAGGCTAAAGTATTCCGTACTAGATACATTGTGAAGTGTAATAGCAACTACGTTGTTGGAGCCCCACGTTCAAGTCGACCACGGCTACACATTCTGTTACACTCTGAATAACCTTCCCCTGTGCACCGCCCCTGTTCGAGCCTATACCGTCCCTCCATGCCCGCATCCCGCTGTCATATGTTCAGGTGATCTAATAATCACTCACCAGGAGGTCCAATCTGACCTTGGCACCGACATTCGTGCGAGGTGGCGCAGGCGCTGCGTCACCGTGCTGGTCAAGTAAGATCATTGAAACTTCAACTCTCTGCCTACATCCACGTTTTTCTCGCCCTTTGAGGAGCAGCTCCTCTAGACAAAATGCCTGCGGTTCCGTTCAAAGTGAAGGCGATTTTCGAATACAGATCGGATGAGCCTGATGATCTCAACTTTGAAAATGGCCAGATAATCACAGTTACAGAAGAGGAGGATGCGGATTGGTATACTGGCGAATACGTGGATGCCTCCGGGGAGAAGCTTCAAGGTCTTTTTCCAAGGAACTTTGTCGAGAAGTACGAACCGACAATCCCTTCGCGCCCGGTGCGTGCCCCAAGGCGTGCTCAGGTTCCAGAGGCCTCCGAGCGTGTCCCAGAGCCTCCGGTACCACAACCAATCCCTCCGCCAACAGAGCCTTCTGAAATTATACAAGAAGAAGAGAAAGCATTCGTAAGGGAACCAGCGGAACCAGCGAGAGCAGAACCTGAGGCACCCCTGCCAGCTTCGAAGCCTCAACCTGTCGCACCCATCCCATCGACTACGGTCCCAAGTTCTCCTCCTGTCGCTGTCCGAGCCCCTCCACCTGTCGCAGAGAAGCCATCCTCGAGTTCTTTCAAAGACAGGATTGCGGCCTTCAACAAACCTGCAGCGGCCCCGATTACGCCTTTCAAGCCAGGGGGAGGTGGAGCAAGCAGCGTTTTCATCAGAAAGCCATTTGTTGCACCTCCACCCAGCAGAAACGCCTTCGTTCCTCCTCCTCGGGAACCTCCGATTCAGAAGCCATACCGTCGTGAGGATGACGCAAGTATAAATGGAGCAGAATCTAGAGACCTAGGGGAACCTGCAGCCACGCAACCGGAGCCTGGGGCTGAAGAGCAACCAAAACCCCAGTCTCTCAAAGAAAGGATAGCACTTCTGCAGAAGCAACAACTGGAGCAAGCGGCACGAAATGCTGAAAAGAAGGAAAAACCAAAGAAGCCGCCCAAGAAGAGAGTCGACACCCTTGAGCCTAGTGAACAAACCCAGCCAGCTGAGCCGACTTTGGCCAGACTAGATTCCAATGAGACTGTAGGCCGCCCATCTACTGAGGTGACGGAGAGCGAGCGTGAACCGATTAGCCTCGCTCGCCGAACAACTGGTCTCGGCACCCCACAGCCAGCTTCTCGCGAGCTCGTCAGTGATACAAATGATGCCGATGACTCAGGAGCCGCGGATGATGATGACGTCCAGGAAACATCCACCGAAGAGGAGCGCCCAAAGTCCAAGGGCACAGATATACCCGCTCCAGCAGCTATTTCCAGGAAATCAATGGATGACGACCAGGAGCAAGAGGGCGAGGAGGAAGAAGAGGAAGAGGAAGAGGAAGAGGAGGAAGATCCGGAGATCCGCCGGAGAAGAGAGCTAAGAGACAGAATGGCTAAGATGAGCGGAGGTATGGGCATGATGGGCATGTTTGGCCCTCCAGGTGGGATAGGACTTCCTGGAGTTGCGAGGAAGCCAAAATCAGAACCCTCTCGGCAGACTTCTGAGAGCCATACGCAGGAAGAACCTCAAGAACGAGCGGCTCCAGTCCGAATTATGGCTTTGCCAGGAATGTCCCAGTCAACCAGACATCAAGAAGAACCTCCAGCTTCTCAAGAGAGCGACGAAGATGAGACTGCACGTCCGACGCCTCAAGACCCTGGCGTTCAGGGGGAGACCGAAGACTATGTTTCGAAACCATTGCAACGTCGCTCGACAGATCGTCCCGCCCCACCGACGTCACAAGGTACGTTGTTCCACTGATTGTAAAGCAGCTTGCCCGCTCACATATAACAGACCGCGCCGTTCCTCCTCCACCAGTACGCGATACAAGAGGTGCCCCTCCTCCTCCTCCCCCTTCAGGCCCGAGAGCAGCCCCTCCAATTCCACAATCACCGACCAGTTTGTGAAATCTCTTCTGGCCTCTTGAAGTTCTGCTGACTCTCTTAGCCCGATCCGTACCCCCGCCTCCCCCGTCGTTACCTCAAGTGTCTCCAGACATTCCTGGTGACGAAGAAGGGGATGAAGTCAACGAACCTCCGGAGAAGGACACCCAGGAGGCGCCAGAGACCCCAGCTAGCGCGCCTGCTCTTCCTCCTATACTACCAACTAGAATACCTGAACCTTCTACCTTGGATACTGCCGAGAGCAGCATGTCTCCAACCACGGATAAACGTGCTTCGCGGCTCCCACCTCCTATTCCCATGAGCCCGACTTCTCCTCAGACCAGAGCTCCTCCGCCTCCACCACCGGGCGCTCCCCCAAGCCGCCGTTCAACGACTGATTCGCGTGGTCTTGGCATTGTGCAGTCCCCGAGGCCCGAGATAGATGACGAAGAGGAAGTCACTGAATATGACGGAGATTACGATACGGACATTGCTTCGAGTGCAAAGCACAAAGATGCGTTGAAGGCTCACAATCGAGACTCGAGTCTCGACGAAGGTGTGCTCACGGATGACATGAAGTCACCAAAGCACGCACACCCACGAGCTGCTCCTCCGCTGCCGCCGGTCAGTGTCCCGCGAGACGTGCCGCCTCCGCCACCGTCTCTACCAACGCCAAAGAGCAGGCGATCTATGGATGCCCCACGTGCGGCCCCTCCACCAGTTCCGCCTCCAAAAGTAGCTGAAGACGACGATTATGATCCGTACCGATACTCCGCACCCCAACATCCTCCGCCATCTCACTATGCCAAAACACCGTATTCTATGTCGTTGCGATCGCCGAAAGAGGAGCTCGAGGAAGATGATATGTACAGTGCAATGCCACGACCAACCACTATACCGCCTCCACCTGCAGAAAGGCCCGCACCTCCACCGCCGCTACCAGAGCCGGCGGAGTATATTCCACCTCCCACCCTCGCACCTCCTCCTCCAGCAGATTCTCCTGAACAACCTACAGATCTCCGAAGATCGGGTACTCTTTCTCGCCGTTCAATGGATCATTCTCGGGGAAGCAGCGAACAGGGGTACATTGCTCAAGATATTGACCTCGGAAAAGGCTCAATGTGGTGGACTCAAGACAACTTGCCACCTCCTTCACTCCAAGGGAGACCTGATATCCTATATGAAATGGAGTCTGGTTCCTCTACCAAGCGAGGGGGTAGGACCACCGTCTCGAAGGATATTTACGTGCTTTACATGGACTATTCTCAGACTACCATCAATGTTAGCTACGACGCGGCGGACCCAACTCACGTGAAAATGGAGCAGAACCATGGGCGACCACCACCTGCGCCTCGGCGTGATCAACTGGAAAATGCGTCTGGTCAATATGGGAGTCAGATAGCAAGAGTCGCCAGCGGTCTTTCCGGTACAACTGTCGGTGACGGCTCCGCACGAGGATTTGTCCTCGAACTCTTAAAACCTCACCCAACAGCTCTCCTACCGGTTGGCACGAGGGCATATGGTGCTCTCGTTTACTCCAATTTAGGTAACGCGTCTACACAACAATTCGACGAAATTCGGCCGGGTGACATAGTCACGTTCCGCAATGCCAAGTTCTCTGGCCACAAAGGCGGCCTGCACCAAAAGTACAGCGTCGACGTGGGGAAACCAGAGCACGTGGCCGTGGTTATCGATTGGGATGGCACGAAGAAGAAGATCCGCGCTTGGGAGCAGGGGAGGGATCTGGAGAAGGGGAAAAAGCCGAAGGTCAGAGAGGAGAGTTTCAAGGTCGGCGATTTGAAGAGCGGAGAAGTCATGGTTTGGAGGGTCATGCCGAGGACTTGGGTGAATTGGGATACTATCAAGTCGTGATTTCGGGCATTTTATTCTAGACGAGATGGGCTCTTGTGCATGGAGGACCTCCAACATTGATGATGATACCTTGGTAGTTCATGTTGTGTGTGCAATGATCCTCGACGCTTGTCATACGAAAAGGAACCTGATCACGATAAAGATACAAAAAAATCAATACATCTCTTCCTCGCCTTGAATGCCTTCTACTGCGCAACAAGTACCTTCTCCCCTGACAGGTCGGAGGTTCCAAAGTAACATGACCGTCGTCTGGGAAGCAGAGTGCGCAGTGGATCCTGTTGCTGTTGTCTGATACCATAATATTAGCGTGTATGAGTTCGTCTTCTCTTCTCGTCATTTTGATTTTCGAAAGGCAATATTTTCGGTATCAATCATTTTCAGGCGCAAGATGTCACAGCGAGGCAAACATTGTCAACAACCTCGGCCGATATTTATTCCTTCCGGGCTTGGCGGTTGATATCACCTCCGGCCGCTGCTGATCTTGATTCTCTCAAACTCATCACCTGTTGAGCACATATATCTCCCGTATTCTCCTAATTATCTACCGTTCCCTCTGCCTTCGCAGCCCATTGCACTTCCGCATATCTGAGGTATCCCTCCTGTCTCACCGTAGACATTGGACATACCATCCCCTCTCTGGCAACAAGAACCCGGCGCCGCCATCGAACATCGTAACCATGTCTTCATCCGTCGACGAGGAAGCGACCATCTCCATCCCGAGCCTTGCCTTTGTCGCCGTGCTAGGCTACTTCATCTATCGCTACTTCTTCTCTTCCCGCTCAAGCCCCGCTGACGGCAGCTCTCAAACATCCTCCAGTGCCTCCAGAGGCACCACTCCTGGAATTCGTTTCACGCCTGCACAAGTGGATCAGATAGCCCAGATGTTTCCGCAATTAAATCGCAGGGACATCATGTGGGATTTACATCGGAACAGAGGCAGTGTGCAGGCGACAACGGAAAGGGTATTGACGGGGAGAGGACTAGATCCGGTAAGCGACTGTGCACGACCGCTTCGGTGCTCGACTGGCAGCAATAGGATACAGTGGCTGATGTTGGAACTTGTATGCAGGCTCCGCCTTCGTTTGAACCGCCGCCTTCGTTCATGGCCACATCTTCCGAGCCAATTGCCACACCGACCGTATCAACTCCCTTCAAAAAACCACATCCGCAGGACTTGATCACGCGGTACAATTTACAGGCAAAAATAAACTCAAAGGGGAAAGAGAGGGAAGAAGAATCACCGCCACCAGGCTGGGCCAGCAATAAAGAGGAGCGACAGAGGATGCTCCAGAGACGGCGAGATGAAATGATTCTCGCAGCCCGGAGGAGAATGCAGGAGAAGGATGCTGAGAATGCAAGTCCTCCACCTTAATTATGACTTTGATCTTGCGCAGGCGCTCAAGGATAATGATCGATTGAACTTGGCTTACGAGCTCGAATGAATTTGCCCGCTGGTTCCGCCAACATAATGGAGAATTCGTCACGCGCGATGGGAAATCACTTCAAGTCATTTCGTCGTCTTCGTCACCGTCGTCATATCTCCGGTCCTCCCTCTCTTCGTCTTCTCGTTCTCTTCTCTCCTGCTCCCTACTTGCGTCAATCTTTCTTAGGCCGTCGATTACTCCGGTTATAAAACCTCTTGACTCGGAGATCTCCATAGCGCCTATGCCGTCAAGCCGTGTGCCTTGGCCATCACCGGACAAATGCTCTACTCGTTTTCGCATCTTTGCGAGCCGCACTTCCCGTATGTCTCTCAGCAACTGCCGCACTTTGTCAGGTTCAGGAATGTCGTCGCTCGCCGCTTCCAATAATATCTCCGAGACTTCGAACCAATGATATGGAAGCGTGGTCGGATTTGCATTGACAGTACACGACTCCACGAAAGGTGGAGAAGCATAAAAGGATTTTCCGCTGTAGTCTGTCTGACGAACAGAAGGTATCGAGGCAGGGGGAGAAAACGTCTCGTGAAAGTCTTTGTGGGTCTCGGTCTCGAGGATGTCTTGCAGATTCTCAGCGAGGAGCCAGGGCGGAGGCAGGATATTGGCGCGTCTTTGGCGCTTTAACAAGACTGCGAGCCACATGGGGAGGGCCGATCGCTGAGGCGGGATGAGTGGTCGGGTAGGACCCTAGATATCGAAATACAATAAAGCGTCAACGTGTCGTCGTTCCTGGAGGCGTTGATACAGGGGAGTAATCGAACGAGAGATATGCTTCGCACCTCATGTGATGCAGAGGTCGTGGGAAGAAGGACTTACGCCCAGTAAGTCGAGGCGTTCGAGGCGCTGTCGCGGTATGATGGTCACTTGCTCCATTTCGCACAGGAATGCGGCCTCGGCGGGCAGCAAGCCAGGGGGATGAGGGAACGCAGACATTGGGCTCGTCTAGGAGGAGGGTCGGAGGGTGATAATGTGCGATATGTTGTCAGACAATGCGGGTGACCGTCTCTTGTGCTCCAAAATATTCGAGTTTCATCTGGAGGTAGCCTCGTCGCGATACGCGGGCCAGAAACTGCGCGCAACTCACCCCGCAAGAAATAATTGGCACGTTCTGCACGGCCTGGACCCTAAGTCACTCACTCTGTAATTATCAGGTTATTACAGACTGCCTTCATACGATGGGCATGCCGTTTTCTACCTTTGGAACCAGCGGCGCTGTACCAGGTATCCTTTTATCCATCCAGCTTATTTTATCTCTGTGTCAGTCCATACTACTTCACTCTATCTTCTGAAACTAAAATCGAGTGGTAAGGCCATGTATGGGACGTTGGTTATGTTCTTACACAGTCGAGACGAAGATTGAAAGGTATGTAACTAGGTACCTAGATAGGGCTGTGAACCCCCCCCCCCCCCCCCCCCCCCCCCCCCCCCCAAAAAAAAGACTCTCTACCCCCAAAGCCTCACTCCCGGGCGCTTACATATCCTCTGCGCCGAGATTCAGAACCCTGCATTAATTAGCAGAGCCAAGACGATCCGATGAACAAAACCAGCAATTTATGTACGGGAATGTTTGGAGATATTAATAGACTCTAGAGTCGACTCCAAAAGCAGTCCCCTTTCTGTAGATATCAACCACGATTCTGGTGACAATACAGAATTATTCCCATGCAGTCGAAGCTCTGGTCGCCCGTTCAATGCCACTCGCGCCCCGCCATCCCACCCCGCCTAAACAAGGGCACATCAGCGCGATGGGTCACCACCGTGGTCGTCTCCTCGCATCATCCGCCCAGGTAAGTCATTCTCCCTTTCTACAAGAGCTTGACATCGACTTCTCGTCCTTTCTGTCCATGACTACTTCTTGACACTCGCAGCATCGCGTTCCCAAAAAGTAAAACCATAGGTCCCCATCGTCGGCGTCAACGAATGCCTCTCACCCATCGCGCCAGCGAGGTGGCAATCCCAGTTCGTGAGGTACGGAGCCAGGATCGAAACGATAATGGCACGCGCAAAAATAAGCCTCAGAACATGGCCCAAGGGTCGAAGATGAAGCCGGAGAACTGTTCCCGACTCGAACCCTCGGTTTGGAATCACTCCGACCACAGCCCAAAAGACAGAAGAGGTAGAGACCTTGACTACTAAAGGTGGGGAAGAGAAGAAAGTATAGAGCTGTTCAAAAAGCTTGTGGAGAATCTTTGCCCAGAGACGCGGAAAGAGCTGTTGAAACAGCTGCTGGAAGAGCATTCGGAGCGGCGCTCTCCCAAGGCAACGTCGCCAATTGTCGAGTACACGTAAGTAGTCGAAGCCTTGACGGTACGTTGGGATTACCATGACCTCCCCTCCTTACCGGAGGAAGGGATGCGTGTTCGCCAAACGTTCGATGAACTGGGATTCAACCCGGACTGCTATGCTCTTCCTATAGCGCTCGATTGCAAGACAGGCTGGTTGATAAATTGAAAGACCATTTGAAGACTGTGGATAAGTCAGCTCTATGGCTTATCTACTACTATGGCCATGGTTATGTCAATACGCAGATGAAGTTGGCCTTCTCCAAGTGAGTGTATCATAGTGTTAATTTCCTTCCTCCCCGTCATGCTAGAGCTGACAGACTTCCTGTTAGACAGAGCCATAATGAGACGACTCCCCGATCAGCTCATTACATTGGGTCGAAAGCTGAAACGGGTTGGTGATACATACCCTGAGAAGAGGAATGCATGAGATCGACATTCACCCCTGCCGGAACTGGAGAAGCTTGTTGAACGGGCGAAAGAATTCAAGTAAGAAAAAAACACATCTTGGTGAAATGCATAGCTGATGTACCAAAGGAACAAAGATGACCGAGAGAGTTTTGAAATCCAGTGGGACGACTTCAAGGATGTATCACGGAGGCCGAGTGCGATGTACGTCTTATATTCGATTGTTGCGATGCTGGCGCGGTGGGACAACGATGCCCTTACTCATGAGATCACTGGGCTTTACGCGAAGTGTACAATCGTTGCATGTCAAGAGGGCTCTTCAGCGAATGGCATTATGAGCGACGCCTTGTGCAAGGTTCTAAAGGCTAAGAGGCTGAAGGCGATGCGAAGTCTGTCAAAAGCAGTCCACCTCGACGTCCAAAATCTCAACGATGAAATTCGTCGTGTCTATGGTGTGAAGAACGTTTCATCCGGCGACTTCAGACGACGACGGATGACAAGCGGGTAAGTCTACCGCTCACCCTCGGCACACCTTGACACTATGTCATTGCAATATACATAGGGACCTCAAAGCACGAGGCCAAATCGAATCTCAAATATGTATCGTGCTATATAAGGAATGATGCAAACAATATCGACATTACATGTAATGTGCTTCAGCATTTTAGCGTACCTGAACGCGGTCGAGCGAAAGTGAGAAAGTAGCTGGGCACCCTCGGCTAATACAGTACGTGAGCAGACCTGGTAGAAGCGAGCTTCGTTGTCAGCCCTGCTCGACAAACCCATCAGTCTTCCCCAGGCAGAGCCTGCACTTGGAAGTCATGATGCAGTTCATGCTACTGTACGCATAAGGTGGGCTAGCATGTTGTGAAAGGTGTCGCTAGCGCAGCTAGCGTCACTAGCGCTCCGCCGAGGGCTGAGCTTAACTGCTAACTGTCATTACACCTCTTGGCATTCAGTTTAGGTAATCACACTTGATCCCTTCCGACGCCAAGTCGCGAGCTTCAACTCAGCCATTTGTTTCTCACGTCTCTCGTGTCTCTTGGCCCTTCTTAATTCAACCCGCGGGACCTTGCCTTTATTCACTCAAAGCTCTCCTGCCTCCTACAGCTACTCTAGCCCCTCGCCATGTCATACTTCACAAGCCCGGAATTTCTGCGAGTCCTCCTTCTTGGCTTCATCACCTCGCTACACATGACATGGCGAAGGCTCGTCAATCAGGTCGTTCCACAGCCCTATCTCGACGAATACTTCCACATCCCTCAAGCTCAAGCATATTGGCTTGGGAAGTGGTCACAATGGGATCCTAAAATCACGACTCCCCCAGGACTCTACGTCTTTTCCTACGCCGTCAATTCGGTCCGGGCATTCTTCTCCAAAGCAGAATTCAGACCGTCTGTCAACGAGTGGAGATTTGCTAATGTGCTATTGCTGTATCTATTGCTTGTCGCATTATACATTCTGGCGGCTGTTGGGAGGAGGATTGTGCATCATGAAAATATCCTTCAGCGGGAGTTCAGCATCATTTGCTTCCCATTGATTTTCTTCTTCTCTGGCATATATTACACCGATCTGTTCAGCGTTTTCGCGGTGGTTCTCAGCGAGATATTTTGGACTGCAGGGACCAACTCCCAGGGACCTGTCAAGGTCCTCTTTCAAGCGTCACATTTCTTGGCTGGGCTGGTGTCATTGTGCGCCCGGCAGACGAATATCTTTTGGGTTGCGGTGTATCTGGGTGGGCTCCAGGTGATTGAAAGCGTAAAGCAGAGAGTCGGCGCGCGTGAGGTCCATGACCCTCCTGTGTCTGAATCATACTTTGAAGGTTCGACCGGCCTCTTTGTCCCAAGTCCTCTCGATTGAAGTTTTCCTTGATCGGGTTCTGACGGAAATTCCAGATTTCCCCATTACAAGTATTTCTCTCGCACAATCTGCCGTCCCCATGATACCCCAACTCCTTCTCGACCTATGGCCACAGCTATCGCTGCTCGCCTCGTTCGCGGCGTTTGTCGTCTGGAACAGCGGCGTGGTCCTCGGGGACAAAGACAACCACGTCCCAACGACCCATGTCGCCCAAATGCTCTATATTTGGCCAGCCATCGTTTTCTTTTCGTGGCCTCTGCTGCTGCCACTTTTCTCTGACCTCCGCGGCCTTCGCCAACGACTACCCAGATTAACCACGACCGTGACCTTCGTCGCACTCATGCTCGCCATAGTCAACCTCAACACTATCATACACCCCTTCACCCTGGCTGATAACCGACATTATACATTCTACGTCTTCGCCATCTTGAGAAAACACTGGCTCATCAGATATGCCGCCGTTCCAATCTACTTTTTATGCGCCTGGCTGGTTCTGGGGACTCTAGGAGGTGCCACGGACGCTACGGTATCGTCTTCAAAGTCTGTGCGTGTCGTTTACGGAGACGACACTGTGCGTGTGAGCTTTATACTTGTCTGGCTCATGGCGACCTCACTATCGCTTATAGCCGCTCCACTTGTGGAGCCTCGATACTTCCTGATACCCTGGCTCACGTGGCGGCTGGCTGTTCCGGAATATGTAGCACCGTCAGAGGAGAAACGGAAGAGAACAGAGCTAGAGAGGAAATCGTCTTCTTCTAACAACAGCTCCTTGGGTGGCCCCTCAACATCGGGGATTCAATCGTTACTGAGAACGGCAGCAGCGCACTCTGCGTGGTTGGAGCTGGTGTGGTACGTTCTCGTCAACGTGGTCACATGCTACTTGTTCCTGTACCAAGGATTTGAGTGGCGACAGGAGCCGGGGAATGTCCAGAGGTTTATGTGGTAGTGCCAGTCTACGACCTCTGCCAGAGTCAAGCCCCAGAAGAGAGAAAGAGAAAGAGAGGGAGAGAGAGATGTGTCAGAGGAATTTAGTTGGAAATACTTGTTCAAAATAATGCCTTTCCTAGCATCACCTCCACAAGATCTCTGCCCCTTTTTTTGGACCCACCTTTTGACCCTTGTGGCCTATGCATTCGGTAACCAAACAAAGGGGTTAGGCCATTGCCAACTTCTTTTTGTATTTTAACCATGGCGGATTTGATGACATTTTATTCGGTGACATTTTTGCCGTTTCAACAGAGTTCCACCACTCACTTGCACACGGGCGCGCGCTTACAAGGCCCAAACTTGGGGGATTCCACCTCGCCATCATGCCTTTTCGGGAAGCCTTTGAGAACCCTCAATCCAGGACATCACTTTCCCGGGCGGGTTCGGGCCATAGGAATCATCACACAGCCGTGGAGGGAGTGACGGGTGGATCAAACGGCGACCACATTCCCGAGCCGCATGACGCTGGCGACCTCGTCATCGATAGTGGGGCCGTGGTACTCCTTGCGGCCCTTGACCCAGTACCAGACGATGCTGAAGATGACGACGGCGCTGGTGACGACGACGCTGTAGTTCATGGTCGAGGCATCGACGGGGGTGACGGGCGGCCACACGCTCCAGAAGATGACGAAGATCATGTACAGGCACGCGTACGTGTTGTTGATGGTGCCCAGCGGCTCGGGCAGGTGGAAGGGGCCCCATTGGAGCTGGGGCTGGGCGACCAGCGAGGGTCGCCGGGCAGACGTGGTGTCCTGGCCCGGTGCATAGATGGGGCCCGCCTTCAGCGCGCCGCCGGTCGCGAGGCCGGATTCGAGTACCTTGGAGTCGCCGGGCGATGCAATCTTCTCGTCCGCCTGCTGCTCGGAGGCGCTCCCTTCCTCAATGATGCCATTGTCGTCTCCGATCGGGAAGCCCGGCGTGTCTTGCTTGTGCGGGCTGATGTGTCCCTTGAGCCGGTGGTACAACAGGAAGGCCGCGGGGAGGAAGTACGAGCAGTAGAAGCCCGTGATGGTCAGGGAGATGACGTCGTTGAAGGCCGTGTACGAGCCGATGTAGATGAGCGTCAGCAGGGCCGCGAACCCGGTCACGACGAAGACGCCGACGACGGGGATTCGGCGCACCCGCGACACGTAGCTGACTGGTTTGCTGAAGGGCGTCCCTCTGTCGCGCGCAAAGGACCAGGTCATTCGTGACGCCGTGGTGATGATCCCCGTCGCGCAGGCCCAGGTCAGCGCCAGCACGACGGCGACCATTACTGTGGCGCCTGCGATCGAGTTCACGCTGTCTATTCGGGGGAGGAAAAAAAAGAATTCAGGTCAACACGTGTGGTCCCAACACCCTGAGTTTGTCTGTTTTCCGCCTTCTTTTTGAACATATTGGGAGAGGATGGGGGTTTCTTTTTGACTTACTGTAAAAGATCTGGATAAACGGATATCCGGTCGCCGTTTCCAGGACGGAATCCACATCTCCGAGACAGAATAGCACTGTCAACATCATGACGAAGCCGACGAGCCCGTTAATGCACATGCTCGCAATGATTGCGCGCGGAATGTTCAGCGCCGCGTGCTCGACTTCCTCGGCCATGTGGACGGACGCGTCTGCGCCGACAAAGGTCGCGACGTTGCCCAAAAATCCGACGCAGTACGACAGGCCTTGGGTTGGCCAGCCGCCTTCGTTCAGTGCGGTTGCGAAGACGAAGTGCGCCGAGTTGTGTGGCGCGTAGGCCCACAGCAGTCCGAGGATGGTGACGAAGCCCGCGATGTGGAACACAATGATGAAGATCTCGAATTTCGGCAGCGCGCCGGGGATGACGACGTTGATGAAGATCGCAACGGCGATGACCAGCCACGCCAGCAGCGTGCCGTGCCATCGCTGGGCGTCGTAGTCCTTGTAGTCGAGAATGATGATGCCCTGGAGCATAGTCCCCGCGAAAATGGTCTCTGTCGCGACCGTGGCGATCCAGGCCAGCGAGGTCAGCCATCCGATGATGTAGCTGCTAAACACCTTCCAGCGCGGTGGTGCGAGCATGTAGACCCAATAGTACTGCCCTCCGGCGATCGGGGCCATGGACGCGAGCTCCGAGATGACTGTATAGACGGACAGCGTGCTGGACCACGCGATGATGAATCCGTAAACCAATCCCGCGGGCCCGCCATTGTCGAATCCCTGGCTGAATAGTGCGAGGACTGTTTCCCAGGTGATCAGCTCGCACACGGCGAACCCAAAGAGCGACCAGAAGCCGAATCGTCGTTTGAGCACCTGTTTCTTCCCGAGAAGCGCGAGGATGGTGCTGTCGGTGTTGTCTTCCTTGGTGTGTGCCATGGTTTTGACGCCCCCTGAGCCCCCGACCGACCGTGAGATGGACGAGAATTGGGAACCTGCACACGAAAGCGACCGCACGCAATGGAGAGCAAGCTTCTCGAAGCTGAAAAGACTCTGGCCAAGTTGGGGGCTCATGGTCTAGCTTATAGCTGGGAGGGCGATCGTCCGGGCTAGACCTCGAAAAGGCTTACTGCTACCCCAATCCGCACTTGTCCGAAGCAGGAACAAATTCCTGCTTAGAGTGAAGGGCCCCTATATCAAAGGCTGACAACCTAGGATAGATAGGAAAGATAGAGGATGGCATTGCCGAGGAGAGTGGCTGGAGAACGGCCAGGTCACGCGGCGGGGGCGAACAGAAGAAAGATCGATGCTAGTTAGATCCTTACCTAGTACAGGCATGTTTAGCCATCTGAGTGCCATTGAGCATTGGGGGGTCAGCAGAAAGGTTTGTCGTGGTGGAGGCGACGACCAAGGACAGAGAGGCTCCAGAGGCAGCTCGCCAGTTAGAGGAGAGGAATTGTCAACCCCAAATCCACTTTCCCACAGCAAGTCTTCTCTGCTTCTTCTCAACAGGCGTTGATTGGGGAAAGGGAAGAGGCACGAGGCAGACGAAGGCGAAGGCGAGGAAGGCGGGCAAAGGGGCGCCCAGTACAGGGTAGATCTTTTGTGATCGCCTCCTTGTCCCCGACCTGAGGCTGGTGGGTCACTAGCGGCCTGGCTTAGGCCGTCATCCACTCGAAGCTTGCCCTGAAAAGCTTTTGCCGAGGCGGCTGACGTTGCGACTTTTCTTGTCCCGAGTAGACAAGACCGTCGGCATTGCCAGCCTCAAAAGCTTGCTGTAGCTTGTCCCGAACAGGTGCACTTTTCCCCCTCTGACGCTCTGACCGGACGATAATATGTACGAGTACCTCGTATGTATGTAGAGATATAGACAACATGTGAGAGTAAGCAGGAGGGTAAAGCAAGAGGATGGACTTGGGACTTGAAACCGTGGTGCTCAGCGTCGAAAGCCTCGCCTTTTGTGCCAACTTGCGAGGCTTGCTTCTCCGCTGGACCTTTTCCTCGCCATCACTGCCAAGCACAGTCTCGATGCACAGTATGTATTGCAGAGGCTGCCCAGATAGATTGATATACCAACCTTTAGGGGCCAGTTGCATTCGGGAAGATGAGCAGAGTGAAATGGAGCGTGCAGGCGGCTCGGACCCAAGGCTTAGAGAATTTGGCCGTCGTCTGTTAACTGTTCTTCATGCTAACATAAGTGGTATGGACCTAGGTGGTGGTAAGTGAAACACATGGAAGGACAGACGATGGATTGCCCTCTTCAACCAGACGCCTCTGCCCAAGTGACAAATTCTCACCAAAGCCTTTTTGCGTATCTTGTCCTGTGCGCGCCCATCAACCCATCAACCAAAATCATCAATCAGAGACGCCACCCTCCCTATCCGGAAAGACTGATGTGTCAAACTCTCGAAGAACTCGAGAAACGACCCAGACTGACGGAAATTTTGTGCGTCGCCAAACAGTATGGGCTGTTGGGATGATTCGGCATGTTTTTTGCTGACGGTTCCGTCGCTGCGGTGGTGGCCTCGAAAGGTTTGTTTCGGGTCTTATTGCGGGAACCGACATCCCCTCACCTAAGCCTTCTTGCCATCTCGGACGGAAACATCACAGATGCGAAGATATAGGCGACTACGAACTCGACCGAAGAGGGCCACGAGAGAAGGTGAGCGACCAGCTAGCGCAACAAGAGGTCTGGAAGTGCAGACAATGCCTAGACGATCCTTTGACCTATAAAGACTAGATCTCCTGCCGGTGTAGGTACTTTGTATAAATCAATCAATCCATCAGTCAATCAACTAGCGCCAACACCTCTGGCTGAGCTGCAGTCTGTTTAATACACTGCCTCCTCTTACCACTCTTGTTCAATCCCGTTCTCGAACTCCCGCTCTCATTCGGCTGCCCTCTGTTTGTCTCTTGTAGCTGCGCCATAGACTCCTGTGCAATTTCCACGAATCTCGCCCGTCCACCGGTTTAGAGCGAAACCGCTGACCGCTGTCGCAGACGCCGACCAACTGAAGGCTTACGTACCTGCTCGCGGGAGACTTTGCCTCTGCGGTGACACTCTTTCATCGTCGAATTGGTCGAGGTACCGAACCAGCCGGATTTGAACTGCTGGGTAGCGGATGCACTGGCGCAGTTTGCGTCTGGTTTCCGGCGCTCCCTTCTTGGGGCGCAATAGTCGGATCTTCCTCCATGATGATTTCCTCTGGCTGTGCACCCGGTAGTGCATTCACTCGTGTGCTGGGCGCAGTTTTATTTACCCATACAAAGTTTCCGTTGGGTCCGCGTTCGGCAACCCCAATGAGTTGGTCAAGGGCTGGTTTGGAGGGCATGCTTTCGATGTTCAGCAACCCCGTGTTTCGGACCGAGACGTGGACCTCTTCAATGCCCTTTGCATATCTTCCCGGTGTTCTTGGTGTCTGTCCTCCCGTAAGGGTTGCAGAGAGAGTGCCCTGGATTCGAGCTTGTCCCTGCCCGGCCTCTCCGAGGAGAATTTCCAAATTCTTGTTCAGATCCGCGTTTTTCACAGCGATGCCGATGTGGATGTTGGTCAGAAGTGCTGCCATCCATCTTAGAGCTGCATTTGCTAGACCAGAATTCGGTTTGCCTTCGACAATCGCACCGCCGACGTCTGAATGTTTCCCAGCAAACCAAGTCTGTTGCAGTCTCTGGGCAGGGGCCGATTTCGAACTCCAAACCTCTGGAGTAAAAGCGTCGCGCATTTCATGCAGTGCAAGTGCTTGAAAACCATACGGGATGCTTTTATGTAGCAGATGAGCTTTTCTTGCTAGGGGATTCACTGTAGGAGGCACTCCCGAGCGCAGGCTTTCTTGTACGGGCTTCGGTACTCCAAGGCCTTGGACTGTGTCGAAAACGCCCACACATTCAATCTCGGCTCGAGTTGTTCTAAGCTCTGGTGCAGTAGGTGGTTTATAGTTGTCGCTGGATACTTTAAGCCATTCCTCGTAGAGAGCGCTCACCAATTTTGGGTCTGCTGGACCCTGTAGAAGCCCAACGGTTGCGATAAAATCGGCGGCGGCGCGTGCTGTTGCTGCACCTCTCGAAAATCCAAAGAAACACAACGTATCGCCCGGTTGGTACCTTGGTGGTGGAGGATTGGCCGGCGCGGATCGTTGGGGCGGTGGTATAGGGCACAGGGTACTATATATAATCTGGATGTTTTGGTCCATGCCTACGCTGCGTTAGTCTACTCAGAGTGTTGGACAGCTTTGTCTCACCTTGCCCGAGCCCCAATTCGAAGACACGGTTCGCTATACCCTTGATATTATTGGTACCTGTGCCTAGCCCTTGCTGATAATAACAAATCTGTTGTTTTCCATCCAAGCCTTGTGCTGCAATAGAAAGGGCCAGCCTCGCCAGGTTACTTGATGGGCCTACGTCCGCTGCATTTTCGCCAGTCCCATCACAGAAGATGAGATGCCTTCGAGAAGGAGCGGGCGCTGCGGGCGCTGCAGGCGCTGCACCATGAGGGAGCACTATAGGCTGAGGGGGACCTGGTCCGGGCGCACCGCCCGGGTGAGGAGCAGCAGCCATCGCTACCGCTGTTCTGTCTGAGGAACGTTGGGTTTCGGTTGATCTAGAGCTTTTGAGTACGTCGGCTTTGTCGCAAGGAGTGGCGTCTTATAATTCATGAACGACAGCTGGACTTCGAAATATGCGCTCCTCATGAGGATTATCAATAGGATGGACTGAGTCTTGTAATCCGTCATGGTGGGTAAATTGGATTCAGCCCCCATCTTCCATGATGATGTACATTACCTCCTAGTCATTCGAATTGTAATATTGTCAGCAACCCAAAGTTGGCCGAGGTACCTAATCCGTCTGGTCGGACCCCGTTATAACAGTCTATCTGATGCTGATGTACTCGTATTCATGAGGGGCAAGAGAAGGTGGTTAATAGCAGCCATCAGCATGAGTAGCGAGATCCATAACAACGATGTGTTCGAGCGGTTCAAGCTTTGAACCGAGGACCTAGATATCCTTAGTTAGTGATAGCGCTGACCAAAAAATGTCCCACCTTCACGAGTTGAAACCGCTGATCTGATGCCCTTTGCCCAATCTGGACCATGTCCACTTCCTCGAGGTGTCCGAATCTGCAGGGATCTGAATAATAGTTCAAGCCTCTGTCCGAACCCGGACCGAACAGAAATCCTACCAGATCCTACCTAGGTAGGTATCCGGCTTTTGTTAAACCCAGTACTAAACAGACTATCCTTTTTGTGGCTGAAATACCTTGTACAACTAATATAGAAGATGCCCCTAAACTTAGACTCTAAATACGTAAGACCCACTGACTAGTCCGTTCTAAGTAAGTCAACAGTGGAAACTATTTTTATTATTACAACTAATACTCAGAATCATCCCTCAAGTCAGAACCGTTCGTTCCGAATGGAGCAAAATGAATGTTACAAGGGGTTCGAGTGATGGGGCCAACTTCAAGTAAGGTAGTCTAAATAGCGGACCCGGTCGTGTTGACGGATATACTAAACTCACCACCATTGCTTATAGCTTATCCTTGGCGCTCCTACTTGAAGTTGTATTTCAAGAGCACATGGGATCTAGAAGTCACAGTCCAGAGAGTTATATAAAAGCCGGCGGGACTAGGGCCTCCCACTGAGGCTAGCACCGTCCAACATGTATGTGTAAGCGTGACTTACGGGCGGTGCTCGTCAAGATATTTCTTCGCAGTCCGTGGACAATTCGCTTCCAGCCCAAGGTTCTTGATCCATCACACTCTTTTCTCGAGCATCTCTTGCAAGTATGAATATCGTTGAAGTTCAACCTATGGAGGGAGGCGACTACGGCGGACATTACCCTGAAGAGGGCCACGGACATAACGACTTCCACCATGCTGGAGACCCCTTTGGCCATGGAGGAGACCCCGCGCAGAATGGATTCACCCAAGAAGGATATCCAGCCCAGAATGGATTCACCCAAGACGGATATCCAGCCCTAAATGGATTCACCCAAGAAGGATATCCAGCGCAGACCCAATTCGACCAAGGAGAAGACCCAACACACAACGGCTTCGGCCAAGGAACAGATTATGGGCATAACGAATTTGGCCAAGGAGAAGATCACGCGCACAACGGGTTCGGTCAAGGAGAAGACCAAGGGTACGGCGACTTCTACAATGAAGGTGGAACGGGGCAAAATGATGAGGATGGGGAGCAGGACCTGGACGCCAAATTACAGGAGCTCGAGCACAAGCTCGACAAGCTCGAGAAAAGGTATGAGACTACATACTATTCCGATGGTAAGCTATGTTGTGTTGTGCCATTGACGCCGTCAATCAAGTCTGATACGTCCAGTAGAGCCGGATGAGGTTCAACAACCAAAGCTCCACCATCATACAGCGGATATAACCATGGTTTGCTTCAAAATCCTGCAAATTGACCCAGAAAATGAACGCGCACTGAATCTACATCGCGATCACTCGGCCTCCCTCTTCAACCGCTTCTATGGCCACGAAGGCGTCGACTATAGTGAGCACAAGCCTAAAATGTCGGAGCACATCTTTGGAGTTCCCCGTCCAGAAGGCATGGATAGCGACCCTGGTGATGACGAGGACGAGGACGAGGACGAGAATGGGCATGAGAATTATGGTGACAACTTTGACAATGCAGACAATCCTGAATATTCCGGCGGAGAACATGATGACCAGTATGACCATGGGCATGACGGGGCCGGGGAAGGTGACGAGTACCCAGGTGGCGATGATGACTACCAGAATCAAGATTACGACCCCGAGCAGTCTTGGGATGAAGGCAACAACGGGCAGCACGACGGGCACTGGCACGACGGAGGTGACGATGGCAGCGGTCCTCAACACGGTGGGGGCCAATGGTATGATGGAGGTGATGATGGCAGCGGTCATCACCATGGCGGGCAATGGCACGATGAAGGTGGTGATGGCGGTGGTCAACAACACGATGGGCAATGGCACGATGGAGGCCATGATGGCAGCGGTCATCACCATGACGGGCAATGGCACCATGGTGGCGAGGATGTTAGTGGTCATCACCACGGGGGGGATTGGCACGGTGGAGGTGGTGATGGCGATCATGAAGGAGAGCATCATTGCTGATCGATGTGGTTGGCTATCGGCGTTGTGTTGTAGTTATCAAGGATGCGGTCCGGACCTGAGATTCTACATGTTGAATCTCGCAATGTATTTATGAAATTTGTGGTTTCCGATCCCAAAGTCAACACCATGTTGACAAATAGAGTCAATATGGCCGAATTCCCTGCCATTTCAAGAGCCCACTGCCGAGGTATGCCATAGGCGAACCAGTGGCCGGCACACCAGGGGCGACTGGCGGTCTGTACAGCCATGGAATGTTAATACCTATATGCCAAGGCGCTAAAGTGTCTCATAAGCTAATCATGGCTCAATGGTATTCGACTACTGTGGAGCCTCTGTACTCGGTATCTAAATCTCTGACCATGGAGTACCAATCCGTTCCCCAGAGTTGCGTGCAGTCACCAAGCAAATAGCACCTGCTGGCCCGTCAGCACCGACCAGATGTCTCGATTCGCTGGGGATAAATTACATGGCCAATAAGCTTTGTCAACAACTTGCATCCGCCCCTCCCTTTGGTCCTGGATCCCCCCTTTCCGCGAAGAATGGTGCGCTTCGAGTGGAGTGGCAACAGTTTAGCATGCGTCTTCCATCCACTGACCTGTGGCGGGCGACACATAAACATGTAATCGCAAAGGCACAGTCTCATAGGCCGGATGACCGAATGCTTTCCACCCCAGGGCGCAGAAGACAGAGAACCGATCTGGGCGCGGTGAAGATGGTCCACCCATCCAAATGCTGCACTCCTCAGCTGATCACGCACCAGGGCAACACATATTTCGAAAGAGTTGGGCCGATGCAAGGAATTGGAGTGGGAAATTAATCGTGTATGAGGCGAGCACAATCTAGCCCAGACTCAGAATGTCCTGCTAGCATACGACGGGAACAAGTTTCAAGCCGCGCGGACCATTTCCAGCCACATCAAGGCATTCCTGGATCACAGCCTCGCGGTTTGACCAGAGGACCCATCCCCAGTGCCGTGCCTCACCGCCTGTTTCCCACTTATACACCACCCTCTGTTTCGTCTTTATAGACTGCTGATTCAGCGCCTTGAACAAAGGGTGCACTTGTTAACCCTCGAGACCAGTATTTATTGTCTTTGTTTATTAGCGACATAGAACGGTACCAACCCAATATGGCTGTGCTCAACCTGCGACGACCCATATTTTCTTTGTTTGCAATTCTATTGAGGCTCTTATCCGGACTTCTCTGCCACTTCCCAGTCGAGGAACGTCTGCAACCATGCTGATTTCGCCGTTCTCCTGTCTTTCTCCAGTTTAGATTCATTGTCCCGGCCTAGGACAGGATATAATTACTTATATGGCTTGCTGCCCTCGGAGGAGCCGGGATTGGAGGACATACTTCACTGCAGCCTTATTTTGACCCGACAGATTCAACCATCTCTCTGTAAAGATGAAGCTCATATTAGCCACATTCACCCTATTTCTTTCTGCCCTTGTTTCTGCGGATGACGTGCAAAACTGGTCGATTTGCCCGGACGGATCAAGCCTTTGCGATGCGTTTAATGGAGCGTATTGTTACGCCAAAAAGGATACCTGCTGCCAGGATGGAAGTGGTACGACTCCCATGTCCACCTCGTGTCTGGAAGTGCGAAGACTGATTCAGTGATTAAATAGGAATCTGTCCAGCAGGCTATACCTGCGGTACAGGTGTCGCTGCCAATCGCTGCTGCCCTCCAGTGAGTCCCCGTTTCTGGATCTTTCTCATACCTATTACTCTGATATCTGACAAGCTGGCCAGGGAGTGAACATGCAACAATGTGCCCAAATCTCCGTTATTGGAAGAGCAACCACCGTGGCCGCCGACACCACGACTAGGAATCCGAAGTCAACAAAAGCCCCAAGCAAGACTTCATCCAAGGCTAAGCCCAAGTCGACGAAGGCGACCAAGACCACTTCTAAGGTAAAGAAACCCACCTAGACCCCATTTGATCCTTTGGCGGTCCTCATCATTTGATCATAGTCTAACGTTGGTTGTAGGCGCCGAAGTGATATCACGGTCGCAGACAACTATTGGAGTTCAGTCATCAAGTCACGCATCCGCCGTTGCGTCGGCGCCTGGAACGGCTCTGCTTCGCTTTTCGAGACAGACCGAGTTTCTTGCTTGGGGACTGATATTGGAGGTGACATTGGGGCGTTCTGTGATAGCAGCTAGAGTTAGGCATGGAGAGTTCTTGACAAGGATTGGGATGCGTAGACAGCATGGAGCTAGGCCTAGCAATGATATCAATGGGTTTGCACGTAGAGCCCGGCTCGCCGGATGGACATTCCATAAGTTGAGAGATCCACATTCGGGTGGCACCAGCGGTTTGTTGTTGCCTGACTGCAGTGAAAACCGAACCGTATTGCCGTCGTCACTGTGTTGAGGCTGGTGGGCTTCACTAGTGGTGGCGGCGCCGTGGGTTGGCGTGGTTTGATGTGGCGCAGGCAGGCAGGAGTGATGGGAGGGGCGAGGGGAAATGTCGATGTGGAAGTGAGTGACGTATGATCAATCCGTCCATCCATCAATCCATTGCGGGCATCCCGCAGTCTCTTCAATTGATCTCCTCACGCCATAAAAGAACATCGTATGCTCCTGTTTTCTTCGCGAGAGACGCATCTCTTACTCAATATCCTTTTCTAAACCCATCCCCAAACAAAGTCTCATTTTGCACACAACCCCGCCACGATGTCGACCACCGTCCATGTCAAGGGTATCTCTCATGACACCAGTGAGAAGGAGGTCAAGGACTTTTTCAGCTTCTGGTGAGTTGTTGGACACACCCACAAGAAATATACGACGTTAACCTCTTTCTAGTGGCAAGATAACCTCAATCTCTGTGACACCAGAGTCCGACGCCCCAGATGCCTCGAAATCCGCCACTGTGACATTCGAGAAGGAAACGTAAGTCTTTCTTAACCGAGAAGATTTTGACCACGAGTTTAACAATGTTTGCATAGAGCCGCTAAGACCGCCCTCCTTCTCGACAGCACTCAGCTTGGAAAATCCCAAGTTCAGGTGTCTGCGGCCAGTACCATCGATGACGTCGCCTCCAAAGCTGGCGCTGCTGTCTCGTCTGCCGCTGGCGAAGAGCACATTGCACAAGAAGATAAACCTCGTTCAAGAATTGTCGCCGAATACTTGGCTCAAGGTTACCATCTCTCAGACCAGGTGATCTCAAGAGCAATTGCATTGGATCAGAAGCACGGCTTCAGCCACCGGTTCACCAACGCCTTGGCCAACTTTGACCAGAAGTACAAGGCAACCGACACAGCGAAGTCTATGGATACTAAGTATGGTGTGAGTGACAAGGCGATGAGCGCCTGGGGTGGTGTCCACACGTATTTTGAAAAGGCACTGGGCACCCCCACCGGGCAGAGAATCAGACAATTCTACATGCAAGGAGACAAGCAAGTCAGAGATGTTCACAACGAGGCTCGCAGATTGGCAGATCTCAAGGCTGGCAAGCACTACGAGCCAGAGCCGGTCCCAGGAACAGACAAGACGGTTTGCAAGTGTGGTGGCGAGGAGGGTGTCTGTGGATGTGCTCCAGGTTATTGCAGCTGTGCTAGGTGTGCAAAGAGCGATGTCGGAACCATCCAGCCAGAGCCAGTCAAGGGCACTGACAAGACGGTTTGCGTGTGTGGGGGGTCCGAGGGTAAATGTCCCTGCCCTCCTGGTCACTGTGCTTGTGCAAACTGTGCAAAGGGCAGTACTGAAGCAACCACTGAAGCGAAGGAGGCTGCTCAGGCCAGCGGGCAACAATTGCCGCCTGGTTCTGTGTAAGGGGGAGGAATTAGGGCTATCATTCAAGGCGGAATTGTTTGACGACGGAGTCTCAGTGGTTTGACCGTTGGGTTTGATGGAGGCCTGCTAGGGTGCTTGAAGCAGTGTCGTGTGGTTGCGATTAACCATTTCAACGAACCCGCTGTAGCTGGATTAGTTTGGGCCAGTTTGGCATTTTCAATGAGACGACGTGTGAGCCGGTCCTCTATTTCAACAGTTGCGACATCGAGCCATCGCACCGTAATTATGTGTCGCATGTCGCGTGCCAACAACAAATATACCGTCGTCCAGCTGACGACGCTCCGTCTGTGGGCTGGTGAGAATAAAGCGAGATAACCAAGAGTGTGGCCACCGAGTGGTTCAGAATTAGCCCACCCGACCGCGCAGAGCGCTGTGCAGTTGCGCACGGGTGGCCCGAGGCCAAAACCACTAGCCAGCTCGCCAGCTGGCCGGGAGTGACCACACTCCCACACTCCCGAGAGAACAAATCTTTGCCTGCGCCCCAAACACCTGAGCAGCTTAATTTACCCTGCCCACCTTGAATGACTCTTGTCCTCGCTGTCCCCCCCTCTATTAAACCACGTCGCTGTCGTCCCGGACGATAGCTTCTCCGATTATCGTCTATTCTCTCTTTCCATCATTTCCCAGAGTATGAACAAGCCTTCCACCATCTCAACTGATCGCTTCTGTGAGGCCTGCGGAGAGCCTGGATAACTGGGCCGATCGCCTGCACCGCCCACAGTGGCAGAATTGAGCAGCACAACGATAAATTGGATACATAAATATTTAAACGATCAGAGAGGTACGTGAGCGCGGGTGCGACACTGTTTTTTTCACCATGGGGCACAGATTAACGCTTTCACCACAGCAGCCGGATCTGGACGAGACAATTCACCAACATGTGCTTCGAGCGCCTGGTCAGCCTGAGGTGCGGTCACTACGAATCCTACCAGTTGGACAAGACAGGGTGCAAGTATCAGGCTGGTCGCCGGTGCCCAAACTACGTCCAGCTTCAAATCCGCCAGGACAAGAATCGGAGCTGCCCCAGCTGCAAAGCCAACCTTCTGGCCACATTTGGCATTGCCAGTCCCAGCCTCAGATGGGGGAAATAGATTTACAGATGTGCTTTGCGAGAATGGGAGTTGATGTCCGGTTGATCAATGCCCGAAGGGCACAGGGCTGATAAAAGGAGGGTGGCTGTTTGCGACACTGATGTCGAG